GTATCAAACTTTCCTTCAGAAAACGGACTTTTCGTCCTTATTTCAACCAAATAAACACAAATAACGACACCAAAAATACACTACATTGTCCACTATAATTTTGACCTCGGCATTTCATGAGTTAGCACAGGTACTGTATATCCTATATATATGGCCGAGGAAGCGACCGCATAGCCAGGGAAACAATCGAGGCTTGTCACACAGGGACAACCTCCATCAACCGTTGTGTGGCTCTTCCCGCTGCCTACCAAGCCCTTCGGATGCAACTCAGTAAAAAAATGAGCAGACGTGAACCCAGACTAAATATGAATCCAGACATGAGCAAGTCCATGGCGTATGCACTCTCAGTCATCCCTCAACCTGGTTCCGACGAAGGCGCAGCCGTCACCACAGCCGTTCCATCTACTAGTCCGGCGGACGAGAAAACGTACAGTCGCCGCGGCGTAAACATGTTTGCCATCCTTGGACGACAGCTAGGGTCAATGAAAGTACGGACGACGACCACCAACGTCTCAACGCCGCCACCCGATGTCGATCGTGTACTTTACGTCACCCTCCCTCCCCTCGTCCGCCACAGGGCCTGTGTGCAGGCGCTGGTGACCACTAAAGCTGCTCCACCACCTCCCTCCTTCATCCGGCGAGAAGACGCTCTAGGACTCCCTCCCCGCCCCTCCCTCCCTGCCGCCCTGACTTCATATGTAAAAAAAACCAGTCTTGACATGACCGTCACTTACTTATAAATCCTGTGAGGCGCGATATCACACTCATCTCCGACAATGGGAGCTTGTATGCTTTTGAAACCTCAGGACAGTAAAACTATGGTTCCCGAGATCGTCTTTTCTTCTTATATATATGTATATATATTTTTTTTCCTCTGAAAGGCGAGTCGGAAGGATGTACAGTGGAGATGCTGACTCATGAACTGTTGATTGAAGTTATGAAATGTGTTTCCAATCTCAAAAAACTGCTCTCGTATAGTTGTAATAACACGTCTCGTGCGGAATAATAGTAACACATTCCCGTGACATCGGGATGCCGACCATCGAAATTCTTTCCGGTCGCCTGCAAAAACTATTCATTGCAAAATTGGCAACCTAATTAGCATGAATTTTTTCATTGGGTTTCGATATCCTTATGGATTCGATTATATTTTTAGAGAAACTGCACAAAAATATTCCGTCTTTTACTCAATTGGTAGCACATTATGTTTTCTTTAAAGTTTGCACTTGATGCAAATCTGTCTTTTGGTTTAAAAAAGTTTTTAATTATGAAATTCTTAAGACCGTGGAACGTCCATTTGTACAGCATTGCAAAAATGCATTTATTGACGCTATTTATAACGTTAACAACCTTGTTCATATGCATTAAAAAGTTTTATAAGCCCTATGTGTTCTCTCCATATTGGCATATATAAAATTAATGTTAGGGGGCGCTCACAGATCGTTCATACGGAACTCACTCGTTCCGTTGTGCCTTATGGACGAGTGGCCCGGTGAGTAGAGGCGTTGACTTCTAAACCAATAGGTCGCGAGTTCGAGCCTCGGGTGTTCCACACTTCGGGCTTGGGTATGGCTGGCTGACGACGGCTAAAAAGCCAGAAATGGCCATTCCAGTCTCCCTTGTCTTTGTCGGCAATACCATTCTACCTATATATAAAATTCATGTTGTTCAATGTGGTTCAGAAACTCTGAATGCCAATGTAACGGCAGGTCGGGTTGAAAATTGTTTAGGAGTCGTGGAAGCCTTTTTAAGCCAAAAGGTGCTCCTTCTGGAAGCAAAAGATTTTAAAAAAGCCGTAATTTGCTACAAGGTAAATGAAAGAAGATTTCGGTGCAGATCTCCTATAAAATATATTTGAACGTATAAGGACATCGAAGATAAATGGGACAAGTTCACGTTATTTAAATCGTCCTTTTTATAGAGGTTAGTTTTTGCAGGCGGCCACAAAGGGATTCGATAGCCGGGCTCCTGACGTCCCGGGAATAATAACTCCACACCGGAATTATTATTAGAAACCTAATAAAGTAATTTTTGGAATTAACACTTATCATAATTTTAGTCAACATTTTATGAGTTAGTTTATCTGCCCTACCTGTGTTGCTGATATACAACGTCCCCAAAACTACCAAATAATTGACTTTCGTTGACTGCTTGCGAACATACTGTTGATGCAGTGAAAGGTACGGGCAACTATTTCGTCAAAATAGGGAAGGGCGATTGGTTGTGCGCCAGGGAGAAAATGTACAACTCTAATCATGCAAACGTGTCTGGAGTTTCTAAATTTTATACATGTAAGCCATAGTGCCTTTCATTTGAGGCCTGCCGCTGACATCGACGATATTCGTACGAGCGTCGTGTTAGCCTCAGAGCATGATCCAGAATTGACCCATACGGTAGTACATTCATAAGAAGACGAGAATTGGGCAGTCGCCAACAAAGAAAAGGGAGGATGAAATGATCCGTTCTGACCTGAAGACTGAAACTCGGCTAGCTTATCATCAACCATTTGATTGGAGGTCCACATATACCATTTCATCCTTGCCTCGCGACGGTTCACAAGACCTGTATAAGCATGTAGTAAGGAGAAGAACTTTAAGAAGCAAAAGCTATTAATTTAAAATCATCTCCAAGGTTGCGGTAATGAAAAAGAAAGCTAAATCGACGCAAATCAGGCCGAATAGACTATTTCAAAGTTCGGTGTCTTCTTCTTCAAACTGTTTTCTGGGACTCGTCTCTTCGCTTCTATTTGTTGTGATATTATTCACTATGAGGTGTAATCCGACAGTAATTCGTTTACTTCAGGATGCTGGCTTTTAAATAAACTTTTTTTCAGCCACCTGCAAAAAACTTTATTCTGTAAAAAATGGCAACTTAAGTAGCATGGTTTTTCCCGTTGATTTTCCACGGCCTTATGAATTACAATATATCCCCTAGAAAACGTGAACAAAAATATTCCCTCTTTTTCTCGTGGGTTGAAAATTACGTCTTCTTCTAATTTTATACCCGAAGTAAATGCATAATTCTGTTCCAAATAGTGTCTGACTATGGGATTATTAAGACCGTGAATTGCTTGTCAAGATCCCAACGCGGCATGATTTAGTGATGTTTAATGTCGCCATACATTTGCTAAAAAAACCTTGACTCAAATTCGTACGGAATAAAACGTGCATTTTTGGTCTCTGTGCATCCAAGAAGAACCACTAGCTTTTAGAGACCATGCACACCGATGATTCATGCATTTACCGGCTTATCGATTTAGACTCCATAAACACAAACCTCAGGAAAATTTTTAAAGGCGGCAGCCAATCGAATCACGACGTCGGCTCACAGCCTCGACCCACTGACAGTAATGGCAATGCAATATCGATTATTCGGACATTTTTAAATTTTTTTACGCATACGGCACGTTCGAGAACGGTTGGGTGAACCGACGTCGAAAGTTTATCAAATGAAGTTTGTCAGATTTCCCAAAGGACGCATCTTCTTCTAATTATATTCAAGGAGATTCCATATTGTGATGTCATCTCAGCCGCAGATTTTACTCGCGGAAGGTCAGTAGAAGACACAGTGCCGTTTCTTGGTGTGAGCGGGCAGTAGCGATAGTCGTTCGCAGTCTCCCTGAGTCACTATCCCCCCTGCTTCTCCTGCCGTCTTGGGTTGCGAGCATACAAGGGTTCAGTGCTGGTACCTTTAAAACAAATATAGGGGGGTGATTACGCTAGGTTCTCCAAACAGTTATCCCTGAGCTCACAAACAAGGCTCTGTTCCGTGCTCTAATACACCGATTCTATCATTACTGTGGTGGGATAATTCATCTAGTAAAAGGTTAAGCTATCTCTATCGGTTGCTTCAGCATAACAGATATTTGGTCTTCTTAGGCTGGAAATAAAGCTACAAGTCCCGCTCTCAATGGAGATATTTTGCCGCATAAGTGTTCCCCCTGTTCCGCATATGTGTGTAAACTCGAAGCCATCTCTCGGTAACTAGATCATTTTTACGCCTGCATCGCCCACAAGTCAGCATCATCACTGCATGCAGCATAAACGATTTCATCACCAAAATGCAAGAAACGGACGTAATGTATCGTAACCCACCCGCAAGCATTCTAGTTAAGCGAGCCGATGTCTTGCTGGTCGTGTTAGCGAGAAAAAACCATCTGTCTGTTGGAGTTATACCCTGTTTTTCGTCTTTCGGGAAGCAATCGATTGTTCCCAAGGATCCAGGTGTGGCGATGCTGAGGTGTTTGCCATGGCCGACATGAAATTGGCCGGGGAATAACTCGATGTTTGGCACACGAATGCTAACGACATCGGTGTCCATCCGCAGTCTCTTTGGGCCGCTATCCCTCCTCTTCCTACTGCTCCCTCACTCCTTCTCCTTCAGCATAAGTAGCCGTAACCAGATTTTTTGTGTCCCCCTCGCATGCATCTGTGTTCCATCTATGTACTGTCCATGGCTGCAAACGCTTTAATGTGATAATTTAAATCTAGCGTAAAGGGATACCATTCTAACAGCACAGGCATTAGCCGAAAGCCTATACACGCGTGTCTTGCCGGCATACTGTCGCTGCATGACACAGCTGCCAGGAGTTCGGCTTCCTGGTAGATACTCCAATTTACAATTTGTGTTTTCTAATTTTCTCAGAAATTAACTGTGAACTTAGGCTTTCGGCTAATACCCCTGCTGTTAGTAAGGTATTCAGTTAGCCTTAAGTATAGAACTAGCTGCCGTTCGGCAGTTAACGAATATCACGCGGTTACTCGTTGTGGCTTATGGACATCGACTCCAATATTCATATATAAAACTTCAGTCTGAGCCAATAGGCCTAGCATATATTAATCTACTCCAAGGTCGCAGTTAACTGCTGGGGAAATTGAAAAACAGCAAATTGTATGTTGGATTATCTACCAGAAAACAGACGGGGAATTCTGGGGGGCTCACTGATGAGCCGAACACCGCACAGCTGTCTTATGCAGCGGCATAATACCGCATGCGTGTATGGGCTTCCGGCTAATACTGATGCTGTCAGTAAGGTATTACTTTGGCCTACAGTTTACTACTAGCTACCTGTCGGCAGTTAATGAATATTACACGGTTACCCGCTGTGGCTGATGGACTTTGGCCCAAATATTCATGCGTAAACGTTCACTCCGAGCCTATAGACTTATGATATACTGAACTTCTCTAAGTTCGCAGTTACTTTCTGTGGAAATTAAAAGCCAACAGATAATTTAAATTTCGATCTACTTTTTCCTCATCTGACTAAGGATTTTCATTAGAAATTTATCAGTTCGTGGGGAGCAACTCGATATGCTTCTGATAAACCTTAACTGAACTCAAAATGCATTCCCCACCTATTCTACAATTTACATATCGAAGTAAGAACATGAGAGTTGTACTCGTGAATTTTTAAGTTTCTGTCACGAACCTGTCGTCGAACGGAGCGAAAAATGGAAGGTACGTTTATTGCATTAAATAACTAGGCAAACGCCTTTTTGGAGTGAGCCAAAATCGCTGACTTGAACTCCCCAAAATTACCGCGGCTGAAAGCCAATACACTGAGATAAACCAGGTAATGGCATGGCAGTCTGTATCAGGAGAATGATTAAAAATTACGGCCCGTCGGTCGCCTGACATGTCACGCATCATGCAGGGTAGAAAATGCCAACTAATTGGTTCGCCAAAGTTACACCAAGGATATGACGAAAATCGTGATCTCAGGACGGCACTAACTTCGCTC